AATTATAGGCATTTGCCAGCATACCAGCTCTAAAATATATTTTTGCCAGTATTCTCATTAAAATCTTTATATCTGTGTCTAGCTTGAAAAAAAATAATTCTGTGGGAATTTATACCACGCGTTTCAGAGTCATAGTTTGTCTCTTCACAGGCAACTTCAGGGTACACTGCACATGGATCTTCTGAGCTGTAGTCCGCAGAGCTCTGTGGGCTGCCGTTGCCTCTAGATGAAGAACCCTGACTGCCGGAGAAGATGCAAATCTGCGCTGGGCAGGTTGGCCCTGCAGTGTGCTGGACTCAGGGTGCCTCCCGCGGGCAGGTTATGTACCTGCGACACCGCACAGCAGGCTAAGGTGCGCTTTTTACCGCACTCTGGTCATTTCTCAGCACCAACAAATCTTCTAAAAGTTTCTTTTTGCATGCAGAGCCAAAGGTCCGCATCATTTGTTCGCTGGGGCATTTTCAGACTCACTGGCCATCCGGCCTCTGTCCTACCTGCCCGGCTTGGTGGGATGGCTCAGTCAAATTTTCATTTACAGATACAAACTTGTATTTTACTAAATTCACATGCTATAAAATATTGTCTTGGGAGTTGTAAAAGTGGAATTGTCTTGAAATGTGAAATGAGCGTCACTGGGGTGGTGTTGAAGTCCTCACGCTGCCCTGTTTAGCATTCCTTTAAGATAGAAGCAGAGGCGCCTCCCTCTCGCCTGGTGATCCAGAAGTAATTAGGAATAAATGAGTTCCAGGCCAGTTTGTACTGGAATCTTTTTTTTTTTTTTCTTTTTGGCTTTTTCTGGTATCGGGAATCGAACTCACGACCTTGCACTTGCCAGGAAGGCACTGTGCCACTGAGCTAAATCCCCAGCCCCTATACTGGAATCTTAACAACTGTAAGTGGCTACTGAGATATTGTGGCAGGTCTAGGTCTGATCTCCACCAGGTCACAGCAGGTTCGCTGATGGCTTCAGCCAGGTGTTGTTCATTTCTTCCCAAATGCATGCCCTGTATTCCTCTCAAGAGGCTGTGTTGCCAGCAGTGAATAAATGGGGACACACACACACACACACACACGTACACATGTATATACACGCTTGTTTTTTTGAGACAGGGTCTCACTGTGTAGTTCAGGCTGGCCTCAAACGTGGCAGTGATCCTCCTGCCTCAGCCTCCGGACTGGTGATATTACAGGCCTCGCTGTCCTCTCTGTGCTGAGCTGGACCTGGTCAGAGAGCCTGCGGGCGAGTGAGGGAAGCGGGCCCATGTCCCAATGGTTTAAAAAATTAAGAACCAAGGACCAGGGATATAGCTCAGCAGCATAAGCGTCTGCCTGGCAAGCACACGGTTCTGAGTTCGATTCCTGGTACCAAAAAAAAAAAATTAAGAACCATTTTTTTGGTGGGGCAGAGTCCTGTAGTTCAGACCCAGGACCCACACTGGCTCGGCACTTCCTCCACCACTGAGCTCCACCCCCAGCTGAAACACTGCCACCGGCAATGGGCTGGGTTTAGCCCCGGGGGAGGGGGGGGAAACATAATTTGCTGGCCCATTATAGAGATAATCTCACTGAGAAGCAACAGAGAAAACCACGCACAACAATACACACCTGGAATCCTAGCTGCTCTGGACACTGAGGAGAGAAGATTATGTGTTCAAGACCAGTCTGGGCAACATAATGAGACCCCCATCTGAAAACAGAAAAACAAGAAAGGAATGTGCATCCATGCTCAGCTGTCCTTGTCACTGCCTAAAGACTCACCAGACAGGAAGTTTCGGGGTTGGTTCAGTAGCATGGAACCCAGCAAACACCATCCCCCTTCCTTGCCATCGCTGCAGTCTCCGCTGGGCTGCAAGAGCCCATCAGGGCTCCCGCTGGAACCTTTGCAAAACCATGCCCCGAAGCAGGAGCAGTGCGTGAGGGGTTGGCATAGGTTCCTTGTAAGCAATTTTTCTCTTATTAAAGAGGAAAATCCTTTCCAGAAAGTTGGAAGCAGAATTTCCCTCCAGACCCATTGGGCGGAACCCTTAACTGGCCAAGGAGACCGGGAGCACCTGATTGCCGGCCTGTGTCCATCCAGGAGAGGAAGACAGGGGGCTGCGGCTCACTGCGCCCCCCTCAGATCCCAGGGCAATGGTGCACTTTGTTGTAACATTGTTCTGTGTGCGGTACTGGAGATCGGTCCCAGGCCCTTCCTCATGCTAGGCAATTGCTCTACCACTGAGCTACATTTCCAGCCTGATCAGTATTTTTTAATGACCTTAAAAATAGGAGATGCGGACATTTAATATCATTGCTAGCATGCAAATCTGTCCTCATCCCTTACTAAAAGCTCTTGAAAATCATTTGTCCTCAGAATCAAGTCCTAAGTCTTTACCAGACTTACAAGGTCCTGAATGATTTCTAAATTTCCAGCCTCATTTCTCTCTTCCCATGCCCTGTAAATAATCACACGCGCGCGCACACACATAGCCCTACACATCTGCCCTGGGTCCCTCCACTGGGTAGTTCTTTGCCCCTGAACCACGCCTCTTTCAGGCCTCCTTCCTAGGAAGCTCCTCCTAACCAATCAGCGGAAGGCAAAGAGCTGCCCTCCTAATCTCCAGGGCCTTTGTGCTTTACAAAGTAACTGTTTTCAAATAATTTTAAAAGATATTGACTGACCGTGTCCTGTTTTTTGTTTGGTTTGTTTTTGGTGCTGGAGATTGCACCCAGGGCCTTTCCCTCTAGGTACATCCCTGCATAGGGTCCCAGGTTCCTTTTGAGTAAACGGATCACCTTCAGTTAGGTCCTCACGCAGTCACCTTCTGCAGCTCAACCCCGATGCTACTCAGAACAGCTAGTGACCTTTACTAACCTTCACCACGTTGTTTAAATTCCTACTACTGTGAGAATCAAAGAGAGTAACAAATAAGTGTACCATTCACTGCACTGAGGAAATGACATTACTTAGTGTCAACTGGGCGAAGTCTTGTCTTTCTTTTCATGCTGGAGAAAGAACACAGGGGCTTGAACATGATTAAAAAAGAGTGAATCTGCTGCAAATTTTGATCACTGTTCAACTTCAGGAGTGATGCTTAACCGGTAGTGAAATCAGCTTACTTACTCATAATTTTCCTCTTGAGTATTCCTTTCTTGCTCCTACTCTTTCCCATGACTTACAAGGCCCTGAATAATCTCCCCCATGAAGCCTCATTTCTCTCTTCCCATGCTCCCTAAACCAACTTTTAGTTTCACCCTCCTTATTAAGGGCTTGATTAGCCCCAGATTCATTATGTTGTTAAATTGAATGTCAGGTCACATTTTAATCAGACTTAAAAACTATATATCTAGCCAGGTGTGGTGATGCACACCTGTGATCCCAGCACTTGGAAGATGGAGGCAAGAGGATCGCAAGGTGGATCCAACCTGGGCTATACAGAAAGACTCCGTCTCAAAAAACAAACCAGGGCCGGGGATACAGCTCAGTGGCACAGTGCCTGCCTGGCAAGCACAAGGTCCTAAGTTCGATTCCCAGTATCAGAAAACAAACACACAACAACAACAAAAAACAAACCAACCTGGCACGGGCCTGTAATCCCAGCACTTAGGAGGCTGAGGCAGCAGGATCACTGTGAGTTTGAGGCCAGCCTGGGCTGCAAAGCGAGTTCAAGACCAGCCTGAATTGCATAGTGAAATCTTGTCTCAAAAAGACAAAACAAAAACAAAAAACTGGAAAAAGAGAGAGCGCTGTATCTGTGTATCTGCCGTGCTTTGAATGTGTTGGGAATGTAACTCGTAAATTCACGTTATGGAAAACCGAGTTGGCGGCTCTGGGAAGTAATTAGATCCGGTGCTACGGGTTTTAACGATGGTATTCGAGAGGGAGAAAGGGAAAGCCCTTTCTGTATTAATTTGTATTTGAAACCCTTCAAACGACATTCAGTACCATGAGGCACAGTAGGTAGCCCCGAAGTCACGTAAGAGGTGATGACTGCGGAACTGGGCTTGAGCTGCGGAGCTTGGAACCTGCCCTTCCCCCTCCGGTCTCTATGGTTGGGGGACCCAGCCTTCGTTAACAGGGTCTCGCCGCGTCGCCCGAGCTGGCCTCCGATTCCAGGCCTCAAGCGATCCTCCAGCCGCTCACCTCGCAAGTAGCTGACCCCGCTAGAGAGCACCAGTGCTCCTGCGCGAGAGCAGGAACGTTTTCAACGCAGATGAGCCACGCAGTTTAAATTAAATCCTCTTTGAGCGACACAGGGTCTTGCTGTGTTGCTCAGGCTTGCCTTAAACTCTCGGCTTCGTGTAATCCTCCCGCGGGCCACTGTGTCCAGCTAAAAGTGCATCTTGTACAATTTCGTTTATAGCCCAAACCACAAAGCTTGGTAATTACGGAAGGACTCCGAATGCCTTGCTGACAGCGAGGGTCCGAGGTCCCTGCTTCTCTCTTCCCCACTCCGGAGCCTGGGTGCGGAGCTCCGGGCTCGGGGCCTCCCGCGAGCGCAGAGCGCGCAGAGACTGGGCGGGGCCGCGCGCTCCGTGTCCCTGGTCCGAAGCGAGATCGGCGCCGGCGAAGCACAGCGGCCGGAGAGGCGCGCGTGCCCCTGGGCGCGGGTCTGGGCTCGGCGCACTCCGGCAGGGCCGGCGGTGCTGCTGGGCTTTTCGCTTGGCCGCGAACCCAGCGCCGCCCGCAGGTGGCCACCCGCCTTTCCGCGCGCCAGGTGTGCGGCGCAGGTGTGGCGAGGGCGGGCTTGGGTAGGGGCGTGGAGTGGCGGGGGCGTGGCACCCACAGTGCGGTCCCGACCCCGGCCCCGCCCAGGGTGCCCGCTCTGCCCCTCTGCGCTCCTGGCCCGCGCCCAGGAGAGTGGCTCGGGAGGGCCCGGCGGCGATTGGCTCGGGAGGGCGGGGCGAGGCGGATCCGCGCGATTGGCTCGGGAGCGAGGGGCGGGGCGGGGCGGAGCCGCGGCGATTGGCTCGGGAGCGCGGGGCGGGGCGCGGTGCTGGCGGCCGCAGGTGAGCCGGGACCGAGCGCCGCGCCGCTAGAAGTCACCCAGCGTCCGAGTTGCGTCTCTCCCGGCTCCCAGCTCCGGAGGGCACAGGGCCGCCCACCAGCCCAGCACCATGAGCGGCGACTTCCGGCGCGTGGCGATCCGACGCAAGTCCAATCTGGCCCACCTGCCGCCGGGGGTCCCGCGGCCCTGGAGCGCGCCCTCCCCGCGCGTGGGGCC